ACTGCCTTGACATTTTAAATAGTTTTGTTTATAAACTTGTGTGAGTAACAGCATGTGGGTGAGCAGAGGAGATACACAGGGCAGCAGAACACAGGACAGAAACATATGCAGGCTCAGGTTCATGGGCACAGTGGGCAGTGTGTGAGCTGAGCAGTTGGATGGGCTACTTTGAATGCATGAGCACACAGGGCTCTCTGGTGTTCTGCAGCTATCCAAAGTGAGTGACAGTAAACTTTTCAGTAAATTATTACACAATAAAAGCATATACATGGACAGGCGTTAAGTTATATTGGAGAGTTATCAGAATCCTTAAAAAAGTTCAGAGACTGGTTTTGAAAGTTGATAATAACATTACAATTTGAATATCTGCAGGTTTAGAAATAGAAATTACATGTAAGGATAGCAGCTTAATGGAAAAGAACAGCATTTTCTTACTTTTCAATGCTATATATATTTTTTTTCTTAACATCTTTTTTTTCAACTTTTATTTTAGAATTGGGGGTTCATTTGTAGATTTGTTATAATGGTATATTATGTGATGCTCAAGTTTGGAGTTAGAATGAATCCATTACCCAGGTAGTGAGCAAAGGACTGAAAAGGTGATTTTTTTCAACCCTTAATCCTCTCCCTCTGTCCCTTCTCTTGTATTCCCTAGGGTCTATTGCTCTCAGTTTTACGACCATGTATACCTAATGTTTAGCTCCTACTTATAAGTGAGAACATGTCATATTTGGCTTTATGTTTCTTGGCTAGTTCACTTAGGATAATGGTTTCCAGCCACATTCACAGCCGCATAGTATTCCAGGTGTATATGGACCATGTTTTCCTTATCAAATCCACTGTTGATGGGCACCTGGGTTAATTCCATGCCTTTGCTATTGTGACTAGTGCTGCGATGAACATGGGTACATATGTGTTTTGGTAGGATGATTTATTTTCCTTTGGGTGTATACCCAGTAGTGGGATTGCTGGGTGGAATGGTAGTTGAACTCTCAGTTCTTTGAGAAATCTCCAAACTGCTCTCTACAGTTGCTGAACTGATTTACATTCCCACCAACAGTGTGTAAGTGTTCCCTTTTCTTCACAGCTTCATCAACATCTGATATTTTTTGGCTTTTCAACAAAAGTGAAACATGGTGGTTTTAGTTTGCATTTTTCTGATGATTAGTGATGAATATTTTTTTCATGATTGTTGGCCTCTTGTATTTTTTTTTTGAGAAGCGGCTGAAGAACATTATTTTCATGTGAAGTTTTAAACAGACATGTTTTAACATAGAGGATAATTTTGAAATTAATTTTTTAATAATTGAAGATACAGTGATAAAATGAATAAACAAGCATTGCGAATTATATCTATATCATTAAGCCACTTCCAGTTTCTTATACAACTTCTACAAGTTATTAAAATTTCAGCAGAAACATTAAAATAGCACTGTATAAATTTACATTGAAAACTGAGTTCAGATATACATAAAACTGATTTGTGGTAAGAGATAAATTGTTTTAGGAAAATTGTTTCACAGGAACCATCAACCATTAATTTACTAAAATTTATATTTCAATTAATCCATTAAACAATTACGGCAATGTTGTCACAGTATATAAAATACTCTTAAGAGCTCCAGTGTCAGTTACATCAGCAGAAATATCCTTCTTGCAGTTGGAAATGAAAAATTCTAGTTAAGATCTTGCATTTAATAAGAGCACTTGACATTGCTTTCATTTATATGCTTGAAAATGAAGTTGCTCCAGGCATGAATTTTGCTAACCTCATAAATTAATTTGCAGAAAAGTGAGCCACTAAATTTTATTAATCAAGATACTATATTAAAGTATTATTATATTAATTTATGACACCAAAATTTTAAACCAATTTTATGTTTTTCTTAAGTGTCATTATAACCCTATTGCGTTTCATAAGTAATAAAATATTTTAAGAAAAAAACCTTTACATTTTATTACCTAATGGCACATTTTTTTCCTGTCTTTTGAATAAGAAATCCTAAATTTTCATTTTGCACTGAGTCCTACAAATTGTACAACCAGCCCAGCTGGAAATCTTGAATCCCCAAGCTAAATTTTGAAGGGAAGATTTCGAAGGCAGAAAGCAATCAGGGTGTTTGAGAAAGTGCCTTTTGCTTTACATATTAGTAAACTCTTATACTTCTTCCATGTTCTCCAAGCTGCTGAGGAGTGTGTGTGTGTGTTTTCTTCAAGACAGATGTGATACGTTGTAAAGATAAGAAATAGATCTCCAGAAGGGAGAATCCTGCCTCCTTACAGCCCAGCCATGGTGTCCACCCTCATAGCACTGCTTGTGATGGTCTTTGTACTTAGAGAGTGAAGTCTCATTTTATTTCATTTTACTATGGATTTAGGCTCCCCTTGATCTATCTAGCACTGATGTTATAGGAAGAATGAAAACTCACATAGAAACTCATCTGAAGGACCCTGTCTTTGTTTCTAAAGAGGCCAAGGATTGATTAGGGTAACCTCAGACCCACTACATTGCGTATAGACGTGAAAATGGTTTTGGGGTTCCATGATGCAAGACAATTTCTCCATGCACTACCATACTTTACACTGCACACAACTAGTCCTCAATAAATATTTGCTCTGTTAAATAGAATAAAATAATTTTACAGCTAGAAAAGCACTTAGAAATCCTCTAGTCCAATTTTATTTTACAAAGGCAGAAACTATATTCAAGATACCAGTATAAAACCATTAGATAGTAAATGAGCCGGGAATAGAAAGAAACTGGATTTCTCCCCTTCCTCCTTAGAATTGCTTCTCCTGCCTCCTTCCTGCAGGACCATGTTGCCCAGCAAAGAAAAACTGATGAAAATCTAGTCACTTTGATCTCTGCAGTTTGGGTCTGGGAAAGATTTGGTCCAATCAGTTTGACCATGAGAATGGAGAGTTCCAATTTGTGTAAACATTTGCCACTTTGGGCAAGAAAGATACTCAGGCCGAACCACTGTTATTCTACTAGCAAATCAGTCCATGACTCACCAGCTTCTGAAGGAGTGAGCCAGAAGTGATGGTGCCATCCTCAACCCCTGAGTGTATTTCTAAGAATTTTCCAAAAAATAGCAAGGTATATACCTTATGCTGGGTGGATATTCCTTGAAAGAAGGATGTGAGCATAATGAGCATCATTTTACATTGTTTAGAAATGTTCACTAAATTGGGAAGCTAAGGGGAACGTTGCCCTTCTGTAGCTGACAGTTCATGAAGGTGCTGGAAAAGCTTTTCCGGGCCAACACTTTGATAATGAGTCTACAAAATTCAACGAAATAATCATCAGGCTGGGAATTTTTTGCAGGGCATGGCTGTACCCCAGATAGAGTTATACAAATGCTGTGCTCCATGTGAGTGGTCATATTAAGAACATTACATTCAGTTCTGAATGCCATAACTCAAAAGGACAGATATTAACCTATGTGTCTGTCTCCAAAAAGAAAGTAATTTGCTCAGTGAAGGATTTGATAATTGTATTGTATGAGGAATGGGTGAGGCAACTGAAGATCCTTAGAGTGGAGAAATTTCACCTATGCAAAAACACACATTTCATATATACATACATATTTATGTATTGAGTTGAGATTCCTAATTATAGCTGTCTATAAATATTTAAAGGTGTGAGATGTGAATAAATTATTAGATTTAGCCTCTATAACTCCAGGGGACTAGTGAGTGCAAATCACAGGAAAGGGGCTTACCTCCTGGAAATGAGATAGTCTTGGTTTCCTAGGTACCATTTCGCATGATCAGTATTTTACTGTCAGTTTTCTATTTGTACACAGGAAATATTTAGGCTTCCATTAATTTATTTTTACAGAAGTAACTGGAAAATATCAAAAATTAAAGTAGATGAGAAATTTTTTTTTTGACAGAAAGAAAAAAACTGGGAAACATCCAGGACTGAAGGAGTTTCTCAATATCTTGGAGAAAAATATTATGGTGGGGTTTGGGAGAAAAATGATAGACATGGAATCTGTACCAGCAATGGCTGAGGCAACAGCAGTTCATGCCAGAAGAGTTGGCCCATACTTTAGAGGAAATTCCACTAAGGATATGAGGCAGTCACTGTATTTAAGGACATATCATATTGATATAAAAAATAAAATCATCTTAATAATAAAGTTACATATGGTTACATTTTTTGAATCTGCAGCCTGATATTTTCCGAGAATTTCTTCTTGTTCTTTCAACACTTTGCAGAAAACAAGACATATAGCAATAGGAAAAGACTTCTTAAAACATGACAGATTTCTCCTTGCAAACCGGCCCAAACTATGGGTCAAATTATTCCTACTGTTGGAGTATTAATAACTCATGGAACTTGTACCCAACCTCCTTTATCATTTTTACTTTTTTTTACCTTTTATTAAAGCCGTTTTTATTCAAGAAATATTCCATATTTTGATTGTTGGTACTGTCAGTTTTCTGGGACTAGCAAGGTCACATGCAAGACCAGGCTTGGAGAAGCAGAACCTCCAGTAATATGCGCTTGAAATATTGAGGGATCCTCTCTCTCTTACTCTGGTCTTTGGCTGACATATTCCTTAAAGAAAGAGTTTTCCTTCATAACAAACAAGTCATGTTGGTAGGCTTGAACTAAACGGAAGGCATTATTTTTTCTTTGTTTATGAGAGTGAATTATGGTATTTTCCTAATTTCAAACATACAAACTCAGCCCCTTATTAACTAAACATCAACAGCATCTACTTCTTTCCAGTTTACAAATAATGGCTCAGTAGAGTGCATAACTATAGAGTTAGATATCTACATTCTTACTGGGCATTTAATCTTTAATTGAACACCCAATTTGTTTGACTCACTGCTGCTTTTGTGCACCTGAGTGGCTCATAGGGTTAGCGAAACACATTCAACCAGCAAGTTCAGTAGTTAGGGATGTGACCACAAGATGGTAGTGTTCCTCTGCAGAGGCAGAATAGAGGGTTCTGAATGAATGGGCTTATGGTAGAAGCAGAGCCTTTTTCTTATTGGTTGGGTACACAATGTGAGCAACTACTATGGTTGTTAGAGGAGATAAGGGACAACCTGGTGATAGAAGTGACTCTTGTAACTGGAGGTTGCAGGTGTATGACTAATCTCAATTGGGAAGAACAATGATGACATCCATTTGCGCTGTATTTATATTCTTGTGGCTGCACCTGGATTGTGAGTTGAGGGTTTTGGGGTAACAGTAAATTAGTGGATATTCTTTAGAAGTTCAAAGAGGAGACTTGCTTTATTTGGGTTTCCTCTTATTACTATGAAAAATAATTCTAGAGAGGAATGACCTAATAACCCCTCTTATATTTCTGATGTTTTTCTTTCTGCATAGTGGTGAATGGAGAGAATGTGGAGCAGCGTCCTTCTACTCTGAGTGTCCAGGTGGGAGACAGCTCTGTTATCAACTGTACTTATTCAGACAGTGCCTCAACCTACTTCCCTTGGTATAAGCAAGAACTTGGAAAAGGACCTCGGCTCATTATAGACATTCGTTCAAATGCGGACAAAAGGAAAGACGGAAGAATGACTGTTTTATTGAATAAGGCAGCCAAATATTTCTCCCTGCACATCACAGACACCCAACCTGGAGACTCAGCTCTCTACTTCTGCGCAGCTGGTGCACATTGCTTCCCAGGCACCTGCTACCCGTACTGAAACCTGAGACTGGAGCTGAAGCTGCAATCCCTTTCCTTTGTCATAAACCTTCAAGTATAGCATTTGTCATACTGTTTGTTTGCAAGTGAAACTAACATATTGACATTAAAAGCATATAAAAAAAGGTTAGTTAGGTTCAAGGTAACCTGGAAAGGCTTAGAACATTTCGTTGACTGTTGCTTAACGAATTCTTTTTTCTAACATTTATATTATTGTATATGTTTAAGGTATGCAACATGATGTTTTGACATACATATACATAGTAAAAAATGAACAGCCAGATGAAGAGATGCATAGGGCAAGCTGTAGGGGAGGGAATCCCGAGCTTCCATGTCTTCTGTGGCTGTGCCTCCTCCCAGGCACCTCTATGTGCTCATTCAGTGATCAGGAGGCTCTGCTCAGTAGATTCTTAAAAGGAATTATTTTAAAATCTAGGCTTTAAAGATGAGTTTACATTTTCCTATAAATTTGGACTCCTCTGCTATAAATAACCCCTTAATATCAATATCATAATCCCTGTTATGAATGTGCTTTTCACTCTTGTCATTTGAAAATTGTATTTTTTTTCTGATTGTAAAACATTATATGCCAAATACAGAAAATATGGAAAAGGCTGGGCACTGTGGCTGACGGCTGTAATCCCAGCACTTTGGGAGGGCAAGGCCGGTGGATCACAAGGTCAGGAGTTCAAGACGAGCCTATCTAAGATGGTGAAACCCCGTCTGTACTAAATATACAAAAATTAAACTGGGCGTGGTGGCTCATGCCTGTAATCCCAGGACTTTGGGAGGCTGAGGCAGGCAGATCACGAGGTCAGGAGTTCAAGAGCAGCCTGGCCAGCATGGTGAAACCCTGTCTCTACTAAAAATACAAAAATTTAGCAGGGCATGGTGGTGTGCGCCTATAATCCCAGCTACTTGGGAGGCTGAGGCAGGAGAATTGCTTGAACCCAGCAGGCAGAAGTTGCAGTGAGCCGAGATCCAGCCACTGTACTCCAGCCTGGGTGAGAGAGCAAGACTCCATCTAAAAAAAAAAAAAAATACAGAAAATGTGAAATTCATAATCCTATACCCCAGATATTGTTTTGCTAATATTTGGTTAGAGTCTTCATATATTTTTATTATAATTAGAATCATGATTTTTTTAATTTACTATTATTATATTGTGAATTGAGCATTCTTCATTTTATCATGTCCTCTCCTCAAACACTTCTTTTTTAATAGCTCTGTGAGAAATTTTTATAAGTCACAGCAATTTTTATTTTCTTCTTCTCTATACTTGTGGTAAAATATGGCATCTTTTTCTTCCTGTTGTTTTTTGTTAAGAAAATGTGACTGGGGTTTTCCTTTAGAGTCCAGTGATTATACATATTGTTTGTGTGTTTGAGGGAAATTAAGATAGGAAGTTATATGAGAATGTGAGCTTCAGAATAGACTTGCCAATCGATTATTTTCAACTCTTATTATTATGCTAGCATTTACTCTCTCATAGAATTTAGAAAAGAGAGATGTGTGTTTTAATAACTGCTATATCTGCAAAGGCCAGAACAATCTTTTTCACAAAGTTAATAGTCAATAAATGTTTGTTAAAAAAAAGAAGAAAGAAGTTAATTATGCTATAGTATAGTCAAAATTTTAATTTAGGCTTCGTGGTTAAAGTTAAAAATTGATTTTTGAAGTATAAAACATCTTAAAACGTATGCTTGAATACCTGATTATTCAAGAACATAGTCTTTCTTTTCATTTTCCTATGTCTTTCTCCATGAAGCTTTATTGTTTTCAGATAAATTTATTCCCACACATTTAATTGTTTTTGCCACCTTTATCTTTCTTTCTATGGCACATGAGAATGTTTTCTACGTACATTTTCCAGTTATCCTACTCATTTTCTTTTCTTTTCTTTTCTTTTTTTTTTTGAGACAGAGTATCACTCTGTCACCCAGGCTGGAGTGCAGTGGTGCAATCCCAGCTCACTGCAAACTCTGCCTCCTGGGTTCAAGTGATTCTCCTGCCTCAGCCTCCCGAGTAGCTGGGATTACAGGTGCCTGCCACCACACCCGGCTAATTTTTGTATTTTTAGTAGAGATGGGGTTTCAATATGTTAGCCAGGCTGGTCTCGAACTCCTGATCTCAAGTGATCCGCCTGCCTTGGTCTCCCAAACTGCTGGGAATACAGACGTGAGCCACAATGCCTGGCCCTATATTACTCAGTTCTTATTAGTGGATTACAACAGGCCTTTGGACCAATGGTTAATTTACAGACAGCTTGCTACAAATCTCCCTACTTCATTTTCATGTTTGACTGAATTAAACATTACTACCACCATTTCCTTTAAATGAGTTGTATGTTTCAGTGTTGTAGATAAATCAGTGGAAATAAAGAAGGTGCATAAATAATTAATTCCCTATTTCTCCCAACTGTGGTCAAGGGTAGGCTAATTTTAAGATCTCTTATATTATTCCCAAGGATGGCTCTAATAGGCAGTTGGCATGGGGAGAATAATTCCACCTGGCTGAGTTACAGCTGTTAGTTATGGTTTGTTCTTAAAGGGAAAATAATTAGATTAAATTAGGGTTAAAACAGCTGGATAAGAAAGGTCAGCTGTTCCTTGCCTCTTCCAGCTCTGATGGCTGCCTCTATTTCTTGGCTCGTGGCTCCATTACTCTGATCTCTGCCTCTATGGTTGCATTGCTTCTCTTCTTTTATCATCTCCCTCTGCCTCACTATTAAAAGTACACATGTGATTACATTTAAGGCCCATCTAATACAGGATAACCTCTCATCCCAGGATCCTTAATCATATCTGCAATATCTTTTTCCCCTTGGCTACATAAGATAACTTTCATGGATTCCTGGGACTGGGGCCTAAATTTTAGAGCCCTTATTTTGCCTACCACAGTTGGCATGCCTGGTGCTATCCTTTTCACAAGTTGAGAAAGAAAATCAGAGTTCCAGATAGGAAAATGGAAACCACATCAATTGCTTTATTTTCTTAGTTTTTACAATGTTCAGTTTTTAAATTACCACGTTAAAAAGGAACACATTTTGATATGCAATTCACTGTGTGAAATTTGAATTTTGCTTTATTTATGGTTTCACAATTATGATATGATTACCATTACACAATTATGATACAAAACAGATTGCTTACCCCAAAAACTCCCTAGTGCTATCCGTGTGAAATCACATCCTCTCCATCTCAAACTTCTTGCAAACCTTGGTCTGTTCTTTTATATTTTTATCTTTTTCAGGATGTCACATGAATGGAATGATGCAATATGTAATCTTTTGAAATGTCCAAATCTTGGTTAGAGAAAGCACACACCATTGGGCACATGCATGATCATCATCTCTGCTACCACTCTGTTTTTTTCTATACCTGAGTGTTTTAAACTTTTGTCGTGTGATAGGAATAACTCAAGATTTCAAATACTTGAATTTCTTTGGAGGTTTAATTTATAGTTTAAAGAAACACTATAGCAAGTATAGTGTTTAAGCAAACAGTATGGCAATTGATAATGGAGAGGTTCCGTTGAGGATTGAACCAACCTCTATAATCAGGGTTAATCACATCAAGTTTAGTTGTACCAACTCTACCCTAAATTTTTATCAATAGATATTTTTCTGTTATTTTAAGACTAAGTTCATTGATCAAAATTTATTTTAATCATATTTATTGGGTATGGTTAATACTTGGATTTTCCCAGGATTTAGCATAGAATGACATATCTCACAATTATTTAATTTTTTTGCACTAGCTATGGCTTTGTAGAGGTGAAAAGTGTTAGGATGGCTATTGCCTCAAGTCTATACCTAAGCAAATTGTTTCATTAGCAAAAGAATAAAGTAGAAAAAATTACAAATCTATGCAACATTGTGCCATTAAATTTGAAAAATACCACTGAAAGGATTAAAAACAAAAGAATGCAAAGATAGTATAACAACCAGTGCTTCCAGTAATCTAGATAATACTCTTCCAATCTCCTTGGATGGAGCTGTCTACTTTATTCACTTATACATGTGTTTCAAGGATCTTAGGTCTGCATTCATTTTCTGAAAAGCTCTAAAGAGTCTCTGAAGAACCTCAGTTTAAGATCTGTAATGTGAATAACTTCTCAATTCTTGTCATCTAAGGTCAGATGATGTCAAACTAATTGGTAAAAAGTAACCACAGACCAATTCCTTTATCTGTTGAACTGGTAATAAACAGTACCTAATAAGGTCATTTTCACAATGTTGAAAGGCAGTCTTTATCTGGAATTTTTTTTATATACCAATGCATCCAGGCTTAGGTCATGTAAAGGCTGATTAAATGAAAGATTAGGAAAGAAAACTGTAACTGTTGGTATAAGGACTGAGTATAATGGGTTCATTTATCTAGTTAAGTTTGTGAAATAATGAATTAAACATGATTCCAGACATTAGGAGTAATATGGACCTACGAGTCACCAGTTGATAGTAAAAGAACCTATGATGTTAGGGGAAAGAATTCAAGGCCATGAGAGCGAAGGGTAATAAAATGCATTATCTCATAGAAGCTCAAGGATATCTGATACCATAATTAATTTTAGTTTTAATATTTCCCATGTGTTGTTTCTCCGTTTTTAGATAAGGAGGTGATAAGAAAAGAGAAGTTTCTGAGTGAAGGCAAAATGTTATATAAGTGCCCCAGAAAAATATGTTCCCCTATGTGCAGATAATTTGAAATGTCACAGGTAGGAAAACAAATTTAAATTGATGTTCAGCCATTGTTAGTGCTGTATTTCTCACAAGAAAGTGGTTCAACCCATGTAGAAAATAAAACAACTCTTACTAGTGCATACTCATAACTCTCTAGGGAACATAATTGTTTAAAACCCTTTTGGAGGTATTCAGCTGTTTCCTTAGGACAGTATTCCAGTTCATATTCCATTTTTATAGTTTTCATGAATCCTTACAGGTTTCAAAAAGGCATAAACTGGGCCGGGCGCGGTGGCTCAAGCCTGTAATCCCAGCACTGTGG